ACCCTGATCCTCCCATCAGTTCTTTTAAGGTTCGTTTAGTGCATGTTCGGGGTGTTCAGGTAATGAAATCGGAATGGAAAGGGAGCCCTCAGCACACACCACAGGGTTGGCTTCCCCGCGGCCTGCTGTGGAGGCCAGCCAGAGGCAGGGGCAGTGCCCCCGAGCTGCCCACGGCCAGCAGGCTGCCTGCTGCGCTCGGCTCTGCCCTCCGGCAGGGACACCACCTGGATTTACTGTCACTTCTTGCTTTCCTTCCTAATCCCGTTAAGAACGGACCACCCGAAAGCAGATCTTGTGTCACTGGAAGCTTCTGTGGCCTCCTCCACTTCAGCCAGTTCCATCAGCAACTTTCAACAGCAAAATGCTTTCTTTAACTCTACAGAGATGAAACGATGAGCCTCATTCAAGCGAGAGACAAGTGGCTTTGGTGCTGAAGCACATGGAAAGGATCGGGCCACCAAAGGCCCCAGGAGGAGATCCTGCCACCCACCTGCTGGCCCTTCCACCTCCACCGGGAGCTCAGTGCCTCGCCCAAAGGTAAGGGTGGTGGCTGCACAGCTCCGCACACAGCAGGAGCTCAACAGCACTTTATCTGATCATTTATTTATCTAACAAATAATAGGAATCCATTACCTAAGCCATCTGGCACATGTTATAAAATCAAGGCAGCAGAAACAGACAGAAAATAACCAGTGGCAGCTCAATGCACAGACATTGCTACTGTGCAAGGACTGCTGACAAATTTGCAGGGGACCCCACATAATCCACTAATCTTAGAAAGTAAATGTTTTAACACGAGACTTGGAGAATTAAGTCAATGACCAATTATTACAAATGGGAGCTTCGTAATTATTCTTACATGCAACAAAGAAAATTCACAGAGCTTTCAAGGTAAGGTCTGTACCAAAAGACATATCTATTATTTTGAGTTTAAGGTTGTGTCTCCTCTCCCCCAAAACGATCTCCCAGTGATGCTCCACTTTCAGTGCTGCATTAGGCCCATGGGATGCACCCTCCCAAAATCCACCTACGGACCGAGAGAAGCTTTCACGAGCAGCCTGGAGCCACCTGGCCATGGCCCCGTGCCGAGGGTGACACCGCGTGTCCCCAAGCACGCTGTGGGCCAGGGGACGTGGGACGCTCTGCTCCCCGGCCCTCTGCAGTGGAACTGGCTCAGGCTCTGGCCCTCACCGGTTCTGCCTCCCAAGGCTCACGCTTCTTGTACCAAGAATGATAAATTGCTGACGTATCACAGAAGTGTTGGTGAAAAACTAAGGGTTTTTTCAGTTTCCCTGTGGCTGGTGTCTGACCACAGGATTTTATTTATTTTATTTTATTTTTTACAAAAACATACCAAAACATCAAGCTCAGGCTAAAGCAAGCATCGTTAGACAGCTGGGTAATTACATAATCCAGCGCCTTCTGCTTACGGGCAAGGGGAGCAGAGCTGCTGCACACAGCTGTGACCCTCCGCTTCCACCACTTTTACTCCAGCAGCAGGGCAGGTCCCCAAAGCAGAAAGGCGCCTGAAATATCCCCGCTGCTGCTGTGTTAGTTTTCGAAGACCAGAGGCAGAGACAGAGTAGCAAATACCCCATGAGAGCCCACCATCACTTACAGATGCGACTGCTGCCCAGTACCTCTGATTTCTACACCAGGCTCACCGCGCACAAAGCGTTACACCCAGGCGAGGAGCACCCTGCTGAGAAGCTGCCTGCAGGCGGGCCCACTGCCGAGGAGCGAGCACGGTGCGAGGGAGCCAGCTCCAAACACTTCAAGGCCCTGCCTTCAGGACTGAGGCAGCTGCCCGCAGACAGTGCCGGCAAAGCCACAGCAGGCTGCTTGCGACGCTGGGAACTGCACAAGCGGCTTTTTGTCCTGTGCAGTTCCCTCCGACACTTCCCTAAGTCAGTGTAATGCTGTAAACCCCCAGCCTGCACCGTTTCCAGGACAGAGCACCAGAACTGAAGGCTGGCCGCTCAGTTCAGCTTGCCCAGGCCGCTGGCCTGCAGTGAGAACTGGTTAGGGCTTCCCTTGGTGCTCCGTTTCTGCCCCCTTTAACCACAACCGGACCAGCTAAGCTGCCCCAGCCTGCAAGATGCTGGAAAGGGAAGGAAGTATTGGTAACAGCAAGGATGAAATGAACAAATGAGTTGAAAAATAAATAAATATGCTGAACCCAGCCATACAAAACCGACACCGACATCCCCCTAAGAGGGCAAAGCAACATGCTGTAGGAGAACACAGCATAAAGCAGGAACAGCTCAAACCAGGGGAGAAAAGGAAGAAAATGGAGAACAAAAACGACTTCACGATGCTGAATCTCCAATCTGAAAAGCAGAGGCACGAACACAGTGCCTGATCTGTTTTAACTTCAGTGTGCAGGTAATGAGCACGTGCCGAGGATGGTTTCGCACAAACCTGAGCGCAAGACCATGAAGTCTGTCACTGCAAGTCGTGGTGCGGCCAGGGCAGAGGAGTCAGATGAGGCCCAGGGCTGGGCAAAGCACTCTCACTTGCTCTTCATTTCCAAGGAAGGCAGACAAAAGCCAACAGCATGGCCCAGATGGTCCCTACAGATTTTCAATGGGTCAGCCCAAGCAGATACCTATCTGCTGTTGGTCAACAGCTATGAAACGCTGATCACTTACGTCTGAGTACTGTTCAGTGGGGCTACAATTACTCATGAAGCACGCCCCAATTCTACTCAGTTTGTATCCAAAGTCAAAGAACCAAAACTTTCAAAAATTACCTTACAGTAGGACTACTGATCTCCCATTGACAGCTTCTCAACAGGACAAGTGAAACATAGCTCAGGAGCACAAAACACATCTAATAACAATGCCTGAGACACAACCCACGGAGCAGTTTTGAACTGCTGCATCCCAAAATTGAAGCCTTCGAGCAGAATCCGTATTTGCTGCATCGCTGGGAGCAGGAACACAAAGCAGAGCATGGTTCAGTCCCATTATTCACAATTAGCTTGTGCCAATCCTTTAATTCAAATTTCCAGATTAACTACAGGGATGCACAACAATGAGGCTGTCTATACGGTCACCGAGTTTAAATATACACCTGCATGAATCAAAGGAACGGGATTTTCATAGGAGTGCCGTGACTTCTTTGAAAACGCATAGCCCTGGTTTCTAACAAAAAAAAAAAATTGAGCATGAGAAAGGACAGCTTCCTTTATGCTATTTCAAGAAGGCCCATGTGGTTGGGATGGTGGCTGCTACATTTACACTGGCCTGCAAAGCCGCCAAGCTTGACGGCTTTAGAGCGGTTGTTACCAGAGCTGGACGGGTGTGGCGCAGAGCAGAGAGCCCCACTGCTGCCAGCAGTGTGAGGAAGGGGACTGACACCTCCACCGGGCTCAGAGGAACACAGCCACCAGCACAACCCCAGCAAGGGCGAGCATCCAGCTCCGGTGCTTCAGGACACGCAGAGGCACACGCAGTAACGACGTTCTGCAAATTCATACCCTGCTGCACGTGCCAGCAAAATGCATGTGCCAGTAATGCCACATGCTGAGGTCGAAGTGGAAGGCCTGGTACTTTAGGGAGCTGTCCTGAACGATGATCCTGGCTGCGCCTGCCAGCATAAAAACGATGTGAAAGTCACGCTTTCTGTGCCTACGTATGGCTCAAAAGAGGACAAGAATAGCCTCTGGTGTGAGAGGAAAGCACAGAAGCAATCTTGCTGACCTTGGTCATCCAGCAAGTCCTCTCCTGGAGGATTACACCTGCAGTGGTTTTCCTTGGTGTTTGCTCATTTAAGTGCTGCACGCTACGACCATAAATCCATTCCTTCTGTTACTCCATCAAGGATGAGGTTGTTGCCACTACGTGTGGAGGTACTGAACTCAATTAAGCAGCATGAAGGATTTTCCTGGGGAAAAAGCAGGCAGTGAAGGGAAGAATGCAAAGAGGCTCTGGTGAACCCTTGGCAGCTTTCCTGGCCGGGTGCCTGATTCGGAGGTTTGCCTTCCCTGCCTCTGGAAGGGGCACAAGCTTCTCCCCAGGCCCCGAGACAACAGGACAGCCACTAGTTTTGGGGCAGGAAGGATTCTAGGAAGTGAATTCAAGGTCAGACGGTGTTTGAAATTAAAATAAAGTCTTTCTGAATAACTCCTCCTGAGAGAGGTCAATCCCGTTGTAAGGCCATTCACCGCGAGAGAAACCAAGCCCAACTTTCCAACGCAACTGCCTGACACGGCTGAGCTCTGCCGAGAGCCTGGGACCAGCTCCACGGTGCCGCTGCTCTTCAGGCCAGCACAGGAACGGCCACCCCATTGCAGAGCCAGCTGGTGGAGATACTTGTCCATGAGCGGATCCACGAGGTGCCTCGTCCGCGCTCATTTGTTTGAGGCGCCTGTAGGGCACGCACCGCGCTCCCTCGCCTGACACAAGCACCGTGCGGATCCGCTGCGGCCCTGTGCGGTGCCACGGCCAGGAGGGACCAGGCACGGGGAGCCCCTCGCGCCCCACGAGCAGGCGGCCTCGTTCCCGGCCTCGTTCCCGGCCTCGTTCCCGGCCTCCTGCCCTCCCCGCCTCGCACAGGGAGGCGGCCGGGAGCTGCCTCAGGAGAACCTCACGAGGCGGCTGCCGGTGCCGACGGCCGCGTGCGGAGCTCCGGGCGTTTGGGAAGGGCTCTGGGAGGCTCCAGGCGCTGTCCGGCGGTGCCCTGGTGCCCCTTCCCTTCTGCCCTTCCCTTCTGCCCTTCCCTTGCAGCCATCGCCCGGGGACCAAACCCCAAACCCAGCGCTCGGCCGCGCCCGGCCCCGCGGGGAGGAGCCGTGCGGGCCCCAGCTGCGAGGCCGCGGCCCCCGCAAGGCGAAACCCCCCGGGCGCAGCCCCCTCCCCCCTGCCACCACCGCCCGGGCCCGCAGGGGCTGCGCAGCCGCCGCCCCCCGCAGCGCCCCCCCCGGCCCCGCTGCCCCCGGGCGGACCCCGCGTGGAGCCGAGGGCCCGGCCGCGGCCCCCCCCCCGCCCCGGCCCTACCTTGGTGTAGAGCTCGGAGGCCGCCATGGCGGCGGGCGGCGGCGGCGGGCGGAGGATGCTCAGGAGGCGGCGGGGCGGCGGCGGGGAGCCATGGCGCTACCTGCGGGCTGCGGGGCCGCTCTGTGCATTGTGGGAGCGCGGCGGGCGGGCGGGCGGCGCTGCCTCCCCCCGGCGGGCGGGGAGCCGCGGCCCGGCCCCGCCGACACCGCCCCGGCCTCGGGGGCTGCGGGCACAGGGGCGAGGGGAGCCCCCCCGGGGGAAACGGGGTCGGCCCCCGGCACGCAGCTCCCCGCGGCGCCGAGCCGTCCGCACAGAGACGGCGGCAGCTCTGCCCCCCCCCCCCCCTCGGTTTGGCCTCCGTGTCGAAAGGGAATGAAATAAAAAGCAGAAGCCGCGTCCCGGCTGGGGCTGCGGGGCAGCTCGGTGGCTCCGTGCCTCATTGCTGGGGCAGGAGGTGCCGGCGTGGCAGCAGCGAGCCCCTCTCCCCCTCTCCCCCTCTCGTGCGCCGCTTTCTCCTCATGGGACGCGTCCCGCCGGTCCCCAACACACCCAAAGGCACCCGGTGCTTCTGCCACAACCTCCACGCAGATGCTTCGGCTTTTTAATCGATATCAGCTCTGAGCAAAATTCAACCCTCTCAACAGCTTTGTGTTCAGGGGGCAGCACCCGGCCTCCCCCAGAGACCTGCTGTGAGCATCAAAGAGAACAGCACCCACAGAAAACCAGCCATGAAGGAGATGGGCGAGCTGCTCAGTCACACACCAAGCTGCTGACAGCCAGGAGTGAAAATAAAGCTCTCGACTCCCCCGATAAATGGTGCAATAGGTGCTAAAATTTAGCTGTGCATCGCTGCTGCTGTGTGAAAGCATTTAGAGAGTGGAGCAAGCACAAATAAAAAAAATAATAATAATTAGGATGAAAACATGGAGCCCTACCTGGAGTTTTGTATTAGGTGCAGATACGTGATCTTCATAGCTAATAAACCAAGGTTAATGGCTTCAGAAATGAGGTTAAAAAATGTTTATTTTGCAGGGATAGTTTAGAAACTATTTAATGATAACTGAATCAAAGCAGACAAACAAAACCAGCAACAAAAAATCCTTCCCATATTCTACCAGTATGCCCAGGACTATCGGCCACGATTACTGGTGCAAGCCCAGGAGGCTCGCTTCCACCAGCAGAACTGCTGTCAGTCCTTGCAGAAGCCAAGAACAGGTTCCTTCGAACTGATGTCCAGGTCAGGGGTGAGGTTTTTGCCTAAGAAGTTTGCACAGCTGCTTTTCACATGTGTACCCTATGGCAAAACAGGGAGATTTATGCTACAAAGCCACTAAGCCATCTTTCACATGCGCACCCTATGGCAAAACAGCCATATAGCACAAAGCCAGTTGGGTCTCATGTGTACCTACAGAACAAGTGGTTGGGAGCTCCAGAGTGATCATCCCCTTTTAACAGATTTGATCTAGGAACTGGATGCATGAACCACAAAAATATCAGAGTTCTGTTCTCTCTGTGTGCTGCTTCATACACGTTATTAAATGCCTTTTCTTCAGGATGCCATCTTTTTCTGTTCAAGACACTCATTTCAGGAGTTCCCTTGGACTGTGGATTACTGTATCAGCCATTTACAGCTGAAGCTCAGGAGCCAAGTGTAATTACGAGCACCAGCAAAAAATAGGTATCTGAGTCCAAAATATGCTATGATTTGACACAATTTGCATAAACCAGGATTTCAAATCTGTCCTTTAGGACAGGAATTGGGGGCACTGAAAGTTGTCAAGAAACCTGTTTGTAAGACTGACTACTTACTACTTTTAGAAGTATCTCCTGCATCATATATTTGCTGGAAAGATTTTAAGTGTCCTATCCTATGAGGCTTCCCTATTTGGTATTGTCACATTGTGCCATAAGCAAGGAGTAGATTCTCTGTTGGCCATATAAAGACAGGAAATCATTAGAAGCACAGAAATAATACATACTGGTAACAAAGAACGTGAGATGGTTTATGTGGCATAATGAATTGGTCTACCCACTCTTACAGAAAAGCGTTTGTATATCCATTACGGACCATTGGTTTTACTCCAAGGACCTTCACTAGAAAAATGGACAAAGGTAACAGAGGAATTCAAAGGCTAAAATCCTCCCACCCTTTCCTATATCATCACACTTCAAGGATTAATCCTGTAAATTCTGGCTGTAGAAAACAAACAGGATTAGCTTCTGACAGTGTTGACTGCAGTTATCAGTTAAGAGCTCTGAAATGTAAGAGATGCATAGGATGAGATAAAATTATATACCAGGCTTCCATTCTTCCCGTTACAACTGGGACGTGCTTCCATGGTTTTGGGCTTACAGAAAAGACAGATGTCAGATGGCACATGAAGATACGTGATGAAATTCCCATGCAGAAAGCTTGCCTTGATTTGTTTATGCTTAATCCTACTAGGAGGATTCCTCTAGTCTCTGGAACATCATGAAGGTGTTTTCAACAGCACAAAACCCATCACCTGAGAACAGACCTCTTGTTCAGAAGAATCCACAGCTCCCATTGTGGCATTTAAGCTTCCCTGGAATTTCAGCCATATGGTTCAACTCCTAGAAAATGTCACAGATTAAAAAATTATAATCCTATTTCTTGAGGAAGAAATGTTTTCTCCTCAAAACTAATAAGGAAACAATCGTACCGCACTATCACTCCTCTAAAGACAGAGGTACCAGCAACAGTTGAACTGAGTCTCTACTCAGTCACTCCGTGTACCAGGAGTGTCCATGATGGCTATTCCATTGTCTGTGGAATTTGACATTAACCAAGCATACCTCTTTTATCAAGAGCTACATCATTGTTCTCCAATAAAATGAAAAAAATCTGTTGTTAAATTTAGACTGTCAGAAACAGAAAGTAAAACTCCTATTTTAAACCAGTCAAATGTGCTGAGATCAGTGGAGACTTCATCAGTATTTTTCACGTCAGTACGCAAACAGACCTCTGCACCCACTAGAAATACTTAAAAACATGTAGCAAGCTGCATCTTCATAGTAACAAAGATGCACTGCCTGAGAAAGTCAGTGACAAATCACTCATCTTCCTCTAAAGCTTTTTCAAGCACATCAGTCGAGCTCAGTCCTGCCTGCCTCTCTGCTAGTATTCCAGAATTATTTTCTAAGGAAATAATTAACAGGAATAAATAGGGATAGAAATTTTCAGATTTTAAGTTACTCTGGATGTACAGATGCCAGAAGCTGGGATGAAAAAGCCAGCCTGAAAGACCAGTGCAGACTTGAATCTGAAAAGGGTGGCTCACTTGTACTAAAGTAGGAATAATCAAACCACACAGGCACCACCAAATCCACTTTAAGTTAAAACAGCCACTACATGCACAGCTTCTCTTAATGGAGTTTTGTGCAACTTACTTGCCCCAGCTTTAATTAGTAGATTTGGGTATAAGCCTGTATTTAAATGGTTTGTCTTTGGCCAAAGACTGATAGCACTCCCCATTATTATTAGGACACTAATGCTTGTGTTAATGCTGCCTTTGCTCTGCTTCAGCATGGCACTTGGATGTTGCTGCTTCACTTGGACACTTAGCTTGTTGGAGATGCCAAGCACGGCGGGTGTTACTATGACCTTGGTTACTGAGCTACCTGCGTAAATACACCACGTGCATCTCGAAACTGCGCAGAGACCAGCACCTACGCCACACTCTGAATACAAAATCATTTGGATTTTTTCCAGCATCTTGATTTCATGGAAATTTCACCAAGTTCGGGTTAACGAAGTCAACAGCAATGCAAACCTCTACATGACAAGTTAATTCCCAGACATCCCCTTCACTCAGTGTAAGGGACCAAAACAGTCATCTGTTAAGGAGTTTTCAAACAATAAGCTTTAATTGCCTTATTAGAAAAATAAGCACTGAAATATATATAAATGTGATTACATTAAAGTAATTCTGTAGTCTAACATACTAGAAACCAAAGCCCAGTCATATTTTTAATGATACAGAGTAGCAAGATTTAGGTTTTAGAAATTTTCCATAGAGGATACGGAAGTATGCAGTATCATTAAGGAAACCACAGTAAAGACAAGACAAATCTCCACATTGCAATAAAAACTAAGTAGATCAATTTATTCTGTATACTATACAATGTGTAAGTTTGTAAAGAACAATTGACATTTTCATCACCTTAACATCTCGACTGGGTGTAAATATGTCCAACAAAATGTACTCCTGTGGCTTTTACACAAACACTGTCCTACTACATCAAGAACAATGAGAGGGAAGCCTTTGGTACTACAGATTTGGGGACATATCTGTGAAGTTGGAATTCATTCACTTTTAACTATTTTGAATAAAATGTTGGTGCTATCTGCTATCATAAGCCTACATGAACACTAGTCTAATAACTAAACACTGTCTATCTTTAAAGGCAAGATATGAAAGGGACTGCCAGTCTACAGTGTGGGCAGGTCTTTTTTGAAAAAGGTCATTATCAAATGGTAAAACTTATATAATACATTATGTACATAAGTTTGGATAGCTGAGTTATCTTGCTGGAGTAAGCTGAAAGTTAGCATCAATTTGCAGTCACCTTTGTTTTACTGTTAAGTGATTATCGGACTTCCTAAGTTTCAAACAGTGTATAGAATCAAAACTGCTGTGCCTGCTGCTGAGGTCTGTCAGATGTGAAGGCTCATAACCAGTCACTGACCTAGTTAGTATTACAGTACTTTAAGTATACACATGGATAATATATTGGTAGCTGAATCTGTAGTAACCTTAAGAACTGCAAGTCACTGAGTGAACATCAAAAAAGCTTGCATTATCTAACCAGCAGGACAAGCTGAGTTGCAGCTAAATGAGGGGGATGCTTAAATTTAAATGGCTTTTTTTTTTTTTTTTTTAATCTCAAGCATCAAAAAACTCACTGTATGTGAGCTACAAAATAGTGGAACCAGACAATACAAAGCAAGTCACCTTCAACTGTTCAATATTTGTTCCAGGCCCAATCCTATTGTTTTTTCAAATTTCATTTGCACATACAAAAATAAAGAGGGATTTTCACATTATAACAAACAACTATAGAAAGCAGTTTGTTTTAATATATCCAGCTTCCTTGTTATTCTTCCAGCCTAATTTCTTGCTTAAAAAAAAAAATAAGAAAAATCGG